GTTTAGCATTTGCCTATCCCGCCTATGCCACGGACCGGCCTTGAGGCTATTTGTATCTTGATATGGAAGTTTTTATTGCTCCCATTTTGGAAATTTGTGTTTTATTCTTGCTTAGGTTTTATTGTTCTAGTATTGTTTTTTAGTTGATATACATATTCTATTGTGCAGCACTTTGTGCTCCCTGGAGCTGTAAAGTGCTATATAAATAAAGCTTTATTATTATTATTTCCCCAGTCTTGGAAAAAACATGGCACAGATGAGGCTGGGGTACACAGGAAATGCTTGGATAATTCATAGAGGTTTGGGTAACTATATATGCAATATATCTATATATATCTAATGTTATTTAGGACTATCTATGTAATTATATCTAATGTTATTTATCTATGTAACAATTTTATCTATTTCTCTATGTAACTTACTATCTAGCTATCTATTGATCTATCTATCTACAGTGATTCTCCACTAAATACACAATCAGCTACAACACTACTAACTCTCAAAGCAACAAACCAACCTACTCTGCAAAGACAGATTCAAATGAACATCACTAAATAGGGATATCCTATCTCTGAACACACTTGGTCCAAAGTGATTCACATGACAAACCGAACCAATCAACTGATTTACCTGACGTCCGACGAACCCAACTGCTTCGGACGTCACTCAAGTGCTTCAAACGTCAACACGCCTCGGCACAGTGGTTCGAAACAATTGTTTCATGAGCTACCGCGCATGTGTCGGAGCCTCGGGTGTCAAACGGCCATCACTAAATAATGGTGCAAAGGCATTAGCAGGGAAATATATCTAAATTACCAAAAATAAAAGTAGTCACTGTTAGTTTGTACAGGTTTCTGTGATCAGAGTAATTGTTATAAGTAGGACAAACATTATATGACTAACTCCCCCCATGTATCTTTCAATAGGCCACAGAACGCACGGGCAAGAATATGGGACTCGCACAGCTTAAATAGTTTCGGGCGTGTCATGCGGAGGACCGACAGTGTTCTGGGCCCCTGTCACTCCTACATAGGGACATCAAAATCAAGTTGATGAGGTGAGAAACATTCTAAAGTTGTGGTTCAAGTGAGAGTACTATACTAGTACTGATAGGTTCAGGTCAGACTGTAATTTCTCAGCTCTTTTTTTTCCTGACTAATTTCAAAAGTGTTTGAGCAACTTTGATATAAATCGGAATGACATTTTTTAAAAACTAACATGGAGCATAATGTAACTGCATACACTTCATTCCTTGTTCTAATTTGATCCATGTTTTCCACTGACAAACTTCCTAGTTTGATGTATGGTGTTTTAAGACAGTTGTAAGATGTGCATATTAGTGTCTATAAGTGCTTTCGCTCTACATTTGTATCCACCACGTTTGTACACAGGGTCAGAATGAGCTGTAGTGTAAGTTTCACTTACTATGATAATGAAGCTCTGTTGTGCCTTAAACCAAAAGTTCAGAGCCTGTATTGCTTTAGTAAAAACTTTGTGCTCTGTAATGTTTATGGCAAATAGTCATAACATAGTGACCATTGCTTTCAGCTCTGTCACAGGTCCTGATCCTCCAAATGGCCAGAAACCAGACATCCATGGCTCTGGAGTTCTTCCTTGGTGCTGTTTTTTGTTACTTAAACACTGCTATTCCTTGCAGTTTTGTGTGCACAGCCTGCCTTGAATCCAAGATGATCTGGACATAACTGGATAGACTTGTTCCTGTCAACCCTCATGACATTGAAATGAAGCACAACTTGCTTCTCAAACACACTCTCTTCAGAGGGACCATTTCCCCCCTGGTGTGGATCATGCTGGAATACAGTGAACTGAATCAGTGCCTTATTTGATATTAAAACAACTTTGAGTTGTAATAGCTTTATTGAAGACAGACAACCAGGCACCATCTGTTTAACCTTGTTCTTTTCTTGTATATAGTGCATTTATTGTTTTCATGTTGGGCACAGTGGGGCCATTGAGCTGTTGTTAAAATACTTCACAATAAAGTCTGCTTCTTTTTTTTTTAAATGTCACTGGTTCAGGTCTTAGTTCTTCAGTAGATGCAGTGAAAAACCAAGACCTGACACCTCAGATATTAAAAGCAGAACAAGAAAGTTGAAGCTTTATTGAAGAAAACCACACTAACAGGGCAAGAACAAGGCTGAAAATGTTGAAGACAGGGCCTGAAAAGTTTGGACCAGTATGCAGATGAGACGCAAATACGGCAGAGCCTGATGAATAGTGATGAGGCGCACACACACACACACACACACACACCTGAGCACCCTTAAAATGCCCTGTGTTTTACCTGTCTGCCTGTCAATCAGAGCAGTGGCCAAGTGGTGGAAGGTGTGTGTGTGTGTGTGTGTGTGAGAGAGAGAGAGAGAGAGTGTGCGTGTATTCCTAAAATCACTCCTCAAACCATGACATTAACATAAAATGATGATCCAAAAAGACTGATTTTTTTTTAAAATTCAGTTTTATCAGAACAACCAGTGCGCTATGATCTAATGGTTTCCTTCATTTACAAATAAAGAAGTGTTGGTAGTAGTGGTTTACCCATGTTTGAAACTATAAAATGCAGGTCTAAATAACTTAATTTGCCTTTAAAAGACCATTCATGTGGTTCTTGTGTTGCATTTAGGTAGATATAATTTTCTTTTTTATTGCTAGCAGTATAACAGTGCACAGAATAATTAGTCACTTTTAGCAGGCACATTTGTACCTTAGTG